AACACATTAAAATATATTACTTATACGTATATGTACTTTGGATATTTTTAGTATGTGTTTTATTGAGTTGATTATTCAAAAAATATATCAAACAAGCCATAAATTACTTTATGCCTCGTATAAAATTCATGAAAAAATACGCTCGCCCCGCGAGGCCTCGCCGGGTGAAAGCAGACAGGACGCCTGCGTGCCCGCTGACCGCTGCCGCCCACCGCAATACTATTTATTGTTTTCTTACCAAATTAATATAATATGCTATTTATTTACTATACTTAATACAATTTGTCTACTCAAAGGTATTTATAGTATAAGCTCGTACAATCTACAAAAGATATGCATACCTATCTAATTTAGGTTTCTTCTCAAGATTTTCCTATTCATGGGAATACTTCATTACGTCATGTTCTTTTTTTTATCTTTTGTCTTATTTCTAAATATTCGAAAGCGAAACGTCTCATAGAGTCGTATCTGGTATCGTCACGAGTTGACTGAAAAGAAACACCATACTATAAACCACGAACGAATTAGTGGCTAATTCGTTCATGCTATAAACGTATAAAAATGTTTATAACACATAATTTTCTTAGCGAAACAAGCATCAGCGATCTAAAAGACTCTATTTAATTTCATATAAAATGCCAAGTCCTTGTAGCGTACAAGTGAAAGAAAACCTTGTAAAACCTAATTTAATTCACAAACATGCGGGAGGGGTCATTGAACTTAGGATTTTCTTTACTATAACTAGGTCAGAGCCAGAACTTCATTAAGAGTATATTCGCTACGCAATAAAATATTAATTATTTCTAGCTTAATATTAACTACATAGTTTTCGGCCAGTGGTCGAAATACGGCCATAATCATTATTGATAATTTGAATAAGACATAGAATTTACCTACATGTCTATAAAAACTTACTGTTTCCAATGTTTTTATTGATACCATTAAATCTCGTCAATAGCCACTAAACAAGAAAAATGAAAATCGGTTGACAAGCAGAGGGGAAAAGTGTAAGTTATTTAGAATTTAATCTTCTGGAATCTATAAACGAAGGGTTGATTTATGAAACTTTAAAACTTACAGAAATAAGGCATTTCACAACCTTCACGTGACAACAGTCAATGTGCGGTAGAAACATGCATTTACTATTGTAAAGAGAGAGGCGAGAAGCTTGAAAAATTGTTTATAGCTTATAACATTGGATAGCAATAACTGGCCAACAAGTAGCTATAACGTTCCGATTTTAAAGTAACATTGGATTTTGTCAGTTTTTACACGGAACGTTGTAATTTCATTTAAATGGTAAATTGACCGAAGCGGTGGCATCGATAACCTAACTCAATCTGCGCATGTAGAGCGCGCGGAAATGTAACGACCTTACTATATAATAAACTGTTGCCGGAGACGGATGATGAAATGATCGTTCTTGATAACTTGGCAGACTAATCAAATTATGATCTAACTTAATCAAACAGATTCACGACATTAATGAAAAAAAATTGTAGATCCAATTTGTTATTTCTTCGAAGATTAGTGGTTCTAAACATACTTGACATTTTACTGATCTGAGCTAAACCTAAAATTTAATATATTAAATTAAGCCTTAGAATGATCTAGCGCCAGCGGGAGTGAAGATTGCAGATATTAATGATGGTCTCGCGGTCTCGGAAGTGTCTCACAACCACGCTAGTGTTAATTCATTTAAAATATAATAAATAAAATTTACCTACTTTATTAACATCATAGTAAATAGCAATTAATCATACACTAAAAATAATCACAACACTTCAACAGGTTCAATACAAGGAAACTAAACTTTGAACCGAAAAGGTCGCAACAAACAACAAGCTGTTCAATAACGAAGCTCATTTGCAAAGAAAAAGTGCAGGAAACATTTACACTGTCGCAATTTCAGAACAACTCACTGCAACATATTAAATTCACTCGGAAACGAATTTAAAATTCTTTTCCGTTCCCACATTGCTCACATTTAAATATTTAACTTTAGTGTAATGCTAATGCTGGAAGGTAAAAACAGCTCTATTCATGGGCGCGTGGAAAACATTAATGACGTCAGTTTGCTTAAGTGATATTCATATAGGGAAGCTTTTTGGTACATCTCGTACTCGTGCTTACGAGCTCCTCCCGTGTGTAAGTGTGTGATGGTGAATGTTATTTTTATATTACATATATATATATATATATATATATATATATATATATAATATTATGAAATTGATGCTATTTTAGTAAATTTGTTAATAACAATATGGACCTATATTATTCTAATATTATAAATACGAAGGGTAGTCGCTTATGACCTTTTACTCTGTGATGATTTATGGGCCGAACTTGTGACACATTCTACTCTATCGGGACACAGCAAGAGGTTCCCATGGCATTTAAGTTCCCGTTCCGTTGAGACAACTTTCTCTAATAATCACCATCTATGATAACCGGAGCGTTCGACAGGCGCTCCCGCTTATCCATAGCGAATCACAAGCTTATTAAAACAATATTTGTATACAAATACAAGTATGAAGTCAGTGCGCGATATTTAATTTCAACTCAGTGGATATTAGCGGCCTTCTCGCATTAAATCTCCATAAGCGCGCCCTGCCCAGTGCCCGCCCGCGGCCGCTCTGTGGACGGTGCGCCTGTGCCTCACGTGTGTCGGCAATTTATTTCAATTGAATTTACATTTGGCACTTTCTCATAAATTATCAATATCGTGCAAATTACTTCGCTAATTAATAGTTTTATATATATATATATATATATATATATATATATATATATATATATATATATAATATAACATAATAGTGCTTCATTAGTTCAAATACGTAAGTTACATCCAGAATATCGTGTTATATTATTATACGCTAAAAACTTCATTAAATTTTAACAGTCTATTCCTATCGAAAGTCGCTAAAAATAATGTTCTATTTAAAAAAGGTACAAATTCAAAAAACGATAAAGTATTTATTTATTTATACATACATTGTAGATTTGGATAATATTTAATTATTTTTAAGAGCAACTTGTAAAATTCATTTCCAGGACAAAGATCCCAACACAAAGGGAGTTATGGAATGTAATTCGCGGCGCTGCTTACAGTGAATTAGATTAGGCGGCTTTGCTTCAGATAAGATTCAGTTAGTCATCCGGCGACTCTCTGCCTCTCTTCTGCTCGGTGCGCTTATAGTAAATTATATATACTTATAACTTATTATAATTGTTTTTTTTTATTTTAACTGTGAACATGGACTTCTTCCAAAAAATAAGATTAACGAAAAATTCACTCGTATCAAACTACATGTATGCTTAGTTATTAAAATTAACAACAAGAATCGTAGTGTTTTTTTATCTTTTAATGATAATAAAAATCAAAATTAAGAATTGTCCATCGGCCTTTTCAATAACGACAAAATCTCTAAAATCAGAATAATTATAGAAGAAGCGAAGAAGAAATCGATAAATAAAGCGAGTTACTCATTACATCTCATAGTATGCCGTAAAGTCATTTATTTTTTTGCATTATTGATATCAACAAATATTTTAAGTTCAAATTTTTTTGTAAAGCCCTTGTTTCACATACTACTCGATAAATTATAAATTCTTCAGCTAAAGCATGTTTCAATTCCAATTTTATTTTAAATTCAATTCCCTCATAGTCGCAAATTTCCTCCTTTTATGTGCCTTTAGCATTACAATTCCAGAATGCGACGCGGCTTGCATCTCAACACTGTTTGTGAACGACGCGGGACACAGCGGTGGCGGCTGCGGGGCACACTGTAATGTCTAAGAGTATAGATTTATTTATTATATGTTCATGTGATATTTTATTGCCCACACATTTTAATAAATAAATTAAAGCCAGTCCTAGCGCTATCATAGCTACCACATCCAGCTAACGCCTATAAACAATCTAGCCAGGCCAGAAGCACAGCCACGCTTAGGGCGTGCAAATGTTAAATGTATTTCAAAACCAATTAAATATATTTAATTCGCACATTCTGAGACTTAGTTAGTATGTATTTGTGTTTTGATTTTTATGAAACTTTTAATTCCGCAGATACTTATTTGGCTAAAAGTCATAGCAACATGCTCCAGCAGCGGCGCTATTAGGACGCCATTGTCCGGTTTGCGACAACTCGGGAGGAACGCGCGGCAAACTCAATAACCAAAGCGTTGTCACGTGCTCTAATTATTCCCGCGGGAGCTCGGGATGAATCACCAGTGTCGCCTCCGACGTATATTTGTATTAAAAATAACAGAAAATGCGATATTTCTCTGTCACGGCTATAAAGACTGAGAAGAAATGACACAAAACTTAAGTAAATAAAATCCGCGTCGGGGAGGCGTCTATATTAAAAACATGCAATGATAGTTTCATTGGCACTCCTAATCATAAATTCAACTCATATTATTTCAAAAAAAATTTTAATGATAAAATGTATGTATTAAAGAAGTGGCTTAATTGATTTTTCAAATATAAAAGAGATGTTGGTCTTCGATCAGTCATTTTATAAGTGACGGAAGCTGCTCGCACTCGACACTTAGGGCAGTCGATAGCCTTCGCTCTACTTCACCGCTTGAGTCCGAACTTCGACCGCACATTCGCTAATCACAAGGCTCGCAGCTTTCGGCGGCCGCTTTGAGAAAAAAACCACTTCACAAACAACCACTGAAAGCTACTCCATATTTAAATATCCACACATTATATTAGTAAATACTAATAACTTTTTAATCTTCTTTTACTTTAAATCTTCATTTTTCGTTGAAGCCTCTTTTTTATATATTTCCAATAAAAAGTCATCTAATATATTTAGATGCTAATTGCTAATGCTCAGGCTAACGTAATATATACTCATATTTTCTATTCATGGTAAAACTCTACAGTTAAAGAGAATATGTATTATGATATCCTTCAACTATACTATGTAAAGTGTATGAGAGTTTCCGTTTCACCTTCAATACGAGTTCTCTTATATAAATTAAAAAGCTCCGTGTAGTAGCTGCGGGTACACCGTCGCGTCTCGCGACATGTTGAGGAAATTAGTAACATTACGCGTCACGTCGCGCTCGCGCTGAGCGCCGCGTGACAGTACCTACAACAACATGACAAATAAAAATATTATCCTCTTTTACCGAATGAAATGAAGGACCGTTATTTTGTTACTTTCGTTCTACAGATCCTAAAATAAAATAGCTTTAATTAAATCAATTTATATTATAAACTTTTGTATAGATACGGGCTCTTATTTTGTCAGTGTCATAATGTTATTACTGCTATTTTGTGTTAAATCATCGTGGGAAAAATGACTGGGGAAATGCTCAAGAGTCAAGACTAATGAATGGGTATTGTATACATATATGTATATTGGCCGCAATTAAAAACAACCAAATTAATCCAAAGACACATTAAAGTTGAGTTCAATTCTAGCTAGTTTATAAAAAAAAAACTTTTAGAATAGTATGAGGATAATCAACAATTAATGTTAACTTAGATAACAGCACAATTAATTGCATTTATAAAATGAAAAATGAATAAAAATTATGCCACGAGTCACGCGCGAGCCACACCAGAACTTTTGTATGTAACCTATTAACATTTTCAACCGTAAACTAAATCTCCATATTGTTTTAGTTGTTTAAAACTCTATTAATTTTCTGTCAATTAGTCAATAAGACAGCGCTCACTCGTAAAATTTAATTAGAAAATTTTAATAAGATATTATTCTTCCTTAATTACGATAACAGCAAATGGTGGAGGAATGGTGACAGTAGAACGAAAATAGTATTTTTACATTGTAACTTATCGTCAAATAAAGCACCACATTTTGTAGACATTTAGAATTTTTAATAGTGTTTTCCCGCACGAGACAGACAATCAAAGACAAATAAGTCATCCACAGACATAACTTGGCCCTTTTTCAGATATCTAAAATTACATATATTTATAGCACATTCGAACATTAGATACGAAAGTAACTATTATTATTACAAGTTTATTTTATATTATTTTGTCTTATATATCTATGTACTAATGTAAATTACTAGCAGAACCCGTGGCTTCGCTCGCGTTCTTTCTACAAAAAAACTTTCTGGCTTTATGTTATACAGCGACTCGCTCGTGTTCGTCGCTACGTATTTATATAGTATTGCTCATACAAAACTACTAAAATCGCGATTAAAAAATGGGAAGTGGGGGGAGGAAGGTGAAAAATACTTTACGACTTATTCTCATACCCACCAAATAAATAAAAAAAATCACTAATATCGGTCGAGCCGTTTAGGCGGAGTGCGACCACAAACACCATGACACGAGATATTTACATATTAGACTAGCGTCTCACCCTCGCTTCGCTTGGGTTCGTCCCTAGGTTGATTCCCCATACAAACTTTCATTCCCATTTTCACCCCTTTAAGAGATGATTTTCGGGATAAAAACTATCCTATGTCCTTGCCAGGGTCTCAAACCATCTTCTTACCAAACATCTAAATCAGTCCAGTAGTTTCGGAGCTTATTCAGTACAAACAAACAAAACAACAAATCTTTCCTCTTTATAATATTAGTATTAGATTAGCGACTCAACCGCGCCTCGCTCGAGTTCGTCCCTAAGTACGCTATGACGGTTAGTATGGAATAGATAAACTATATATTATAATATATACATTAAGGTATGATGAGTTTTATATCCCTTACTTGAGAAATGATTGATTCTCCATACAAAATTCGACCCCCCTTTTCCGCCCCTTAAGGGATGATTTCCGGCGTAATACCTATCTTATGTCCTTCCCAGGTTCTCAGATAGTTATCTTCATACCAATTTTCATCTAAATCGGTTCAGACATTTAGTTGTGAAAGGGTAACAAACAAACAAATAGTATGATATTAGTATGGATAATAGGTACCTATCGTGATACATATATTACTAAACAACTACCGTAGAATTATATACGTACACGATAAGCTCAAGTCGGTGTGTCTTTAGGAAATCAGTTAAGTTACAGTGCGTTCTGCTTTCACGAATGTTGCGGTGTCACACAGTCGCCGCATTCAGAACTACTTGTTACTGGAGTAGTTATGAATGCAGAAAGTTTCAGTAGGCGACAGTGTTAAGACTAACAGCAGTTCACCTCCCCAGGAGGAGGTAGGGGGCTACGACCCCCCCCCCCCCACGCCACTGACTATCGCCCCTTATTTAAACATTTTTAAAGAATGTCTAACACGTTAAGGAAACGAAATATTTTCTTATAATGTATAAGACTATTTGAACTATCTTCTCTCTATTAAAACATGTTATTTGCGTGTCTGTGTGTGTACCTATCATTATTTAATCGATCCCATGGGTACGGAGTGTAGTGAGAGGTCGACCCTAAGTAAAGAATAAATTGTGATTCTCCTGTACATAATTATTTACAGAATTAGCATCTGAATCTGAAATTGTGTTTGTGAATAGCATTAAAAAATATAATTTATTATGTATTATTGTAATTAAGAAAACCACAACGTGATACAACAAGTTCACTATATTTGATTCGTTTTACATTTTGGAAACAAGGTTTCATAATTTGGACTAGATAGTAGTTTCGAGGCAAATGAAGTCTTATTTGTGAGCAGAAAGGCTGCAGCCGCTCGAGGCGAGCTCCCTCGCGCCTCGCCTCGCGTCGCGCAGAGAACAAGCGCATTGTTGCCTGCGACGCCGCACACCTCGTAATTTTGCTGATTATTCTCAAGAAAATTTCAAAGTGTACAATTTAATGACATTTTGTGGAATACTAATTTTACGTTGCAACTTGGAAAACTTAATTTGTGTTCTCTAAGATAAAAATATTTTGAAAAGAAAATGAAAAGTACTGACGAATCTCTATAGACACAAATGAAAAATTATTTCTTGTTATTTGTTCCCTTATTTTAAAGTTTTCTTCTTTAAGCTTACCGAATTTTACGCTTGTATGTTTTATCGTTTTTTATAATAGCAATAAAATAATTTTAATATCACTTTTCTTTTAAAAGCTTTTCTTCATATTTTTATTTTTTGACTTTTTTTATTTATTTGTCATATTAAAACTTAAAAAAATATATAATTATACGATATAATTATCATTGTCAGTATGTTTCATTCAGTTATTAATAATTTATTAGTTGTTTAATGTTTATGGTTCATCTCGATCCAACCTTCGAAAACTATTAATAAATAAATATTGATAAACTTTAACTATCATAATTTTCAACAAAATAACAATTTCCGTTAACTCCGATGCTATCAATAATACTCTGAATAATCTTTATACTAAGAGCTCGAAGTAGTAACTATTCAGTATAACCTATTTGGCAAAGCACTCAGGTCACGATACCAAAATTCAAATTTCAATTTGGCCTAAAATAATAAATTACTTTACAATAAATAACATTTACTGTTAGTTATAATTTTGCGAAATTAAGATTTTCCTATTAAATTATCCCGTATTAAATTTTAAATAATCAAAACGCAAAGGTATACTAAAAACTTTCATTTCATTAAATATCTCTGAGATCAATTAACCCTCTCCTTAATTCACTATAGAAGACAAAATAATACTAAATAATAATAGGATTTTTAGAATATAAAACGCAGACAGAAAACTTAACAGCATCTTATCAAGTTAAAATCGACCCAGTTTCTGTTAAATTAGTTTAAGAGATGCAACAAATTCTATTTCACAACGTCAGCTATTCACGTGTCCCCAGTCCGTACAGTAGCGCACCGCCGAGGTTCACGCTCGGGCGGCGTCGCACATGTCCCCGGTGCACCAGGCAATTGGAATATACAAATTTTCTGCACGCGATTTTAAACCGTTTTACTTTACATTAAAAACTATATTGAAAACCTCACGCTCAGGGAGGGTATGAGTGATTGGCCCAGTAGCAATAGATATGTCATGCTCTAAGATATCGCACGTAAATCATTTAACTTGGCTTCTTTCCCATCTATAATGTACGCCCAAATGCACTATTAAACAGCCGAGCAGCGCTGCCATATTTTGTAAAATTGGACAATTTAGATTCGTTACCAACCATTCAGTGAATATTACTCCGTTGTGCAACAAACTCGATATTATTTAGTTGCCTATGTTACACAATTTACATCACAAGCCCGCATTTCACTTTTGCTACTATATTTTAAATGTTTGAATTCGATCAGATACGACTACATAATTGTATATTCGTCGCTTATGTACATGGTTCGTTGCTGGGCGGTCGTCCGCCGTCCGTTAGCGACTTTGATCAATCTCTTCACTATGCAAATTCGCTCAACTTGTGTTTCGGTCGCTGTTTAGCATTTCAATGTCACAATTCCTCCCCAATTATGTTAATTAATTACTTTTGATTACCGTTAATTGGATAAATTGAAGCCGGTTAAATTTACGACAAATATTTACGTCGGTACTACCGGGCCTTTGAATCGCTGGTTTAATTATAATTTATGAATCGTAACCGGCTATATTCGAAACAAATATTTTACGGTTTGTTCCAGAGCAATTAAGCCCATTTGTTAGAATTCCAATTAAAGCTAAATAAATGTGCGGATTATGCTAAGGTCGAGCTGAACGCTTTGATTTCAGCATAACTACACATGAGGGTAGCGCGTACCGTGCGTGCATATAGAGGAGCAGAAGTGTGGGGTACGTGTTCACAAATAAAGGCATCGTACACAATCGTCAGCTGTTTTAATTACCGAAGACTCGATCCAGACAGGGGAGAGGGATCACTAGCAGACACTTGCACGTCTCAGATGGCGATGCATCGAGACATGTTAATCCTTCCACCAGCTGTTTCGAAGACTTACCGATTGCTTTGTCGTAATAACAATGCACCGTATATGATTGTACAAGCAAGCTACAATAAGTCCTCTTGCATCGAGACAGATATCAAAATAAAGTGCGCCTTGAACCGAAGCATTCGGCACGTATCTTGGTACCATGTTGGCATATTGCTTCGTAATAGCTCGTCGCGCCGTTGCAGATTTGAGCAGACACTTACGGCTTTATGAGATAGATATTGTGGCGATTAAGCCTCATTGTTAGCAGCTGCATGGTCCTTGACCTCTCTCTTATTGTTTTCAGTTAACAATGCGCTCTACAAGGCCAACTAGCAGGTCCACTCTGGCTCTATTGCCGAGATAAATGTAACTACTTTAGTAACTGTTACTACTACTTTAGGTTGCCATAAAACATTTTTCTTATTACAGTTGACGGCAAATAAAACTTTATTCGTATGTAATGGATAATATTAAAATATAAAACATCAAAGAATAAATGTACTCGGCCCGTAAGGAAGATACCACCAGTGAATAGTGAGCTCTCAAATCATATTGTTTTTAGAATTAATACCAAATTCATTTTTGCAGCGATTACGTACACGTAGTATAATTCCATAAGATAGAATACTATTAAAATTTATTTAATTATACAAGAAGAGCAGCTGTTGGTTACCTGTTTCAATGTAAAGGCGGCCAAAACGAGTGGGTAAACCCACAAATGTTAAAAGTTAAGGGTTTCACAGGATTTTGATTTAATTTTGTAGATAAAATTACTCTTATATAATTATATAAGAAATAAACTTTTTTGCTCGTCTTTAAGAATTCAAACATAAACAAGGATAACAGTAACACATAATGTAGGTACATATTAAATCAAATAAACGACAAGTTAAATCATAAGAAAAAAATAAGAATAAAAACGTAACTCAAATAAAATATCGTGAAACATTTTAGCTTTTACTTAGAAACTCCAAAAATGACCGATTTTTTACAAACCTTCATCCTTCTAGATGCTTTGAAATTCGGTAAGATTATGAAAAACAAAACAATATAATAAAGATAAATAAGATCAAAGAAATAAGAATTTTTTTTCTTTTTTTTTTATCTTGCAATCAGTCTTCTTGGCTATGAGCAGATGTGATGTAAGAATATCAGTGACAGGAAAAGGTATTCCTCATTAGGAATTTTTGCCTTCTTTAGTTTCAATGGCTTAGTTCGTTTTGCCGAGTTCAAGGATTCTGCGTCGTTTCAACCGGTTTATGCAATCAGGTAATGTGAGCTGGACTGCCAGCTGGTTAGGATGGTTTTCCAATCTGATTTTGTATTTCTTTAGACGTGCCTTGATCTCCTCTTTGACTGTCAGCATGCTTAGGTGTTCATGAACCTCTGTGTTTCTTATGAACCAGGGTGTGTTGCCAAGAAATAAGAAATGAAACAAACATAAGGAGATTGATAAATATTGATAGAAGAAGTGACATATATTAGACAAATATACAAGTAAGAATAAGTAAATACTAACTAGCGATCGAGCGTGACGCGTGACGCGAATGTTACAGGAGCATTACGTCCGCGCGAGTTGTCACGTCGCCGGTCGCAGTACAACGATGGCTCATCAGCTCGTTACGCAGACAAACATGGCGCTGACATTTACGCTAAAAATACTAAAGTGATTCCGAGTCCATCATTTAATATGTGTCATTTTTAAATTATTTAGAATGTATCTTTACATAAACAATATTTTTATCAGGTTTCTGTAATAAGCAGCACATACAAACACGATGTATGAATGGAGAAGCCAAGTTGCTTGATGAATAATTTAAAAACTGTTATGTTATCTGTATACTGTCTACTCACCATCTTAATAAAAATTACCAATTAAAATAAACACGAGCGGAGACATGGCGCGCTTGATTGGCACGCGATTTGTCAACTCGAATATTCATTTTAAAATCGTTACCTATTACAATACTGCTGCATTGCTAAAGTTCCTCAAATATGATTTCGACAAAAAAAATAGAAGGATTTTACATAATACGAAATCATATTTCACATTTTGACACTTAATTCAAAACGTATAACAGAAAATATTGCGCTATAAAAGTACCGCGTCATAATAATGTCAAGAATGAACAGCAATCGATGCGATCTGACAAGTTAACAAGTGAAATCACCGGAGAGAAGGGGGAGTGGGGGGATGCTCGTCACTCGTAAATTTAACACTCAGTTTGATTCGATTCCGTCGAATGTTACGACTTATCGCTATAAAATCGACAAACGATGCTTATTCCTGCCGCATTGCTTATTTTGACGTACATCCGCGATCCCTATTACACTCCGGTAATAGGTCTGCTGGAAATGCCACGCTTGGCCCAAATGCTTTATTTTATTACTTTGTTTTATTTCATACGTTTCATTTATTTTTACCCGAAAACTAATATCGTCTTTGTTACATTACTTAGTTTTAGCTCAGTCGTCAATATATAAATATAAATACATAATATATACTAGCGTTACACTCTTAAGACCTATGAAATTGGTGATAGTCGAAATATTTAGTTAAATTAATAAATCCTCTTCCCATCCAATTCAGATTTAAATCTTAATAACATGCTTCTATAATGAAGTAAGATCCGACCCGACGACGAAGCCGGAGTTGACCGGACAATTTTCAATGTGGTTTTAATAGATCACAGATTAATAACGTGAAGCATAGCAAAATAGGTTTTGAATTATTTTAAATTCATCAACTTTTGCTTAGGTTAGACCCTAAAACCTTTTTTTAACAGTGGCATATGCTGCACTGAGATACAAGAAACTCATTTCAAAACCCCGCTTATAAACTATTTCTTTGAAAATCACATTTATGTTATATGCGGGCTCCGCGTGTGTATTTTTTATGAGGCATCACTTCTTATAGAGTTCTTGTTGTATCTCCGAACATAGTCGCACAATCAAAATTAAACTTTGCATTACTTAAGACTCAAATTATTACATGTATCCGTTGTACAACCAGGCGTTCCAGAGATATACACAAAGAAACAAATCGATAAAAAATATATCTGTAAATTCTGATTCTCATATTAAATGTATAATTTTAACTCCGTTCCGTAAAAAACATCTCATCGATCGGTCGTTAATTGGCAGTAATTTCTAACAACGGTTAAATTCGGCAAATGTACTCTACATTGTAAATTGAGAGTCGATTTTCAATTCTAAGGACATAGAGGACTTACAAAATACGTTCCGTCCATCATCTTGACACAAATATTGCATTGCAAATTCCTTTTGACATCGAATTTAATAAAGAATTTTTATAAAAGAATTATGTGTTAAGTAACTCCTTTTGAGTTGTAGCCAAGTGGGTAACGCATTCGCTTAGAACACCAAGTGAAGTTTGTTCAAACTCTGAGTTTAACACTTAAAAACATAAAAATCGTGAAAGCTATTTAAAATGCAAATAGACATTATTCTATTCAATCAATACCAATCGCAATCGTATTATATTGGCCAATTTCAAAAATGATATAACACTTAGCCTTTACAATATTATATAGTTTACGAACTATCAACCGAAACCAAATTGAAATACTTCTGAAGGCCATTAACATGAAGCTATAAGAAAACTTCACACGAAGTTCGATGTTGTCTCAGCACTAATTAATCACTCGTTATCCTTTCGCAAACGGCCCGACATAATACTAGATCTAGATGTGTTTGTTCCTGCTATTAAATCTTAATACATCAGCGCCGCGGCCGCTGCGACAGCTCCATTAGAGGCGTGCGGAGATAATCCGCGGGACAATCACCGAGTGACTCGCCGAAGCCCACGGATTTTGTTTTAGGACACTTTTTCACAATGAATTGTCACGTAGTATAATTAGCGCTGACCGTCGTGTTTTGAGTTCGTTGTAGGAAAGGCTGTTGCTAATGGTGCGACAGTCGTACGATTAAATAATTTGGTATTATTCTTTCAACGATAATTTTTTCCCTTTTTTTGAAAGTGATTTTTTTAACGTACATACAATGTGTACCTTGTAAGTCATCATAATATACTTTACATAGATATATTGTAGCATAAGATATTTTCAGATACTTATATATAATATAGATTATATAATGTGTATTGAAATATACAATATAATACGATATACCAAAGTTGTCTTCACAAATTTCACATTCGCATATATTGAATGGTAACACGTAATATTCACCGCAAACACGTCCGCGGCCGCCCGTCGCTCGCCGCTCGCCGCTCGTCGCTCGTCGCTCGGCGCTACGTGCTGGGAGTATGAACAGTGAACACGCTTCGATTGTTTTAGAAAACTGCCCTAATGAATAACTTTCAATAGAAATGGAATTCAACGCCCTTTTATTTGTTCCAGGTGAGTCCGCTGCGACCAGCGCTTGTAGCTCTTCTCGTGTGTTATGTGAGTCGAGGCGATTTATATAAAATTAGCTGAAGGTAAGCGTTTCGATTAGCTGAAAGTTAGAATAACAAATTTTAGATACCTTATCAGTAATTGTAATGTTGACATCTTGCATGAAGTTCGCTGCGCTTATTTTCCTATTTTTTTCAATTTTTGGTACAGATTTATGATTACTTATTAACTCAATTTTTCTCAACTAAATATAACCTATGAGGTGTCACATTTATACACAGACTAACTTCAAATTCACATACTGAAATGTGAAATGAAAATCAAATACAAAGGTAGTACATTAATGATCCTCACAATTAAATTACTATTATATGTAGATATTATAATATCCGTACAAAAACAGGAATGTTACTCCGCTCAAAGCCCCGCGGATTTATTCCGAGCATCCCGCGTTCTTTCTTTAGACTTACTCAATATTCTGTAAGTTACGTTGTATTTTAACGTCTTTCATTTTATAATAGTTTTTATCGGCTCAAAGCGCGCTGTAATCTCGTTGCAGCGTGAATCTATCGACGAGCAGGTACATATAATGTACAGTGTACACTGTACAGTGTAGAGTGCACGGAGTGACTCAGAGAGACCCGCCTGCCGACGCCCGCTCTTCCTTTCCTCACAGATCGCGCTCCGCATAAACTTATTGAAATAACATTTTGCTGCGCAAATATTACGAATTATAGGTTTGAATCGAATTTTGATTTCCGCACGCGTTCGTCGATATAGTCGATGTGGTGAGCGGTTCTGTTACTTGTGTTTCTATTTTCTCACATGTCATGCGGATATTATAAAATA